ATTTTCTTATTTTAATTTATATTTCTGCATGAAAAAAATTGTATTTCCAACAACAATTTGCCAAATTACTTATGCTTGCTAGATGCTTAAAAAGCTTTTGAGAGTTGCAACTGGAATCTTCTCTTTGATAAACTTTACTTTGATAATAATTAACTAACCTGTAAAAATTGAGAGTTAACAATCCAAAGACTTGATAAAGTTGAAAGAAATGCTGTTAAGTCTTTTTTTAATGTATCCTAGTATAGCAAAAACTATATAAACTCTCTATTTAAAGTTCGGGAGATATCAACGTACATACAACAAAATAAATCTTTCTTGTAAATAATAAAGTAACTTTTGAAATCATCAATTTCCAGTTTAACTATTGTTCAGTGAAATATTCATTTTTAGATGATATAAAGGAATTATGTAAGATCCATAAACTAACCTAATTCAGGTTAAGAAGAAAGTCAAAATTAAAATTTCAGAAAATATTATTCCTGAAGATACTTATCAAGTTTTAGTTTAAAATATAATTTCAGTATAGCACAACATTTATTTTCTTTTAATTACACAGTTAATATATATATATATATATATATATATATATATATATATATATATATATATATATATATATATATATATATATATATATATATATATATATATATATATATATATATATATATATATATTTAAAATATATTATATATTACTGCAAAACACAAGATTTACTGGCAGTGGATCTAAAACATACGAGAAAAACTCCCTAATGGGAATAAATGGGCGCAATTTTTATTTTTAACCCCGGGCGTCAAATTCCTTGTTATGCCACTGTTTAGGTATACGAAAAGTTTTTTTTTCCCATTTATTTAACCATAATATATGAAAAATTTACAATAATATATTATAAACACACATAAATAAAGTTAAGTGTCACTCACAACTAATCAATGGAGTGACACCTAAAAAAAATCAAAAATTAAAACTATAAATAAAACAGATAGAATCTAAAATAAAATAAAGAAAAAAAAAGGGAAAGAAAAGAAAATAAAGCACTAACAAATAAAGATATTATTAAAAATTGCAATAAAAATAATAATAAATATAATAACAATAACATGAATAAAAACGTTAGTAATAGTAACTAAAATATGATAACTTTATTAAAATTATAGCAAATGATAAAAGCCATGGTAAAAAAAGCTTTAGTAAAATTTATGACTGAAATTGTAAAAATAAACATAACATTTGCAAAAATTATGACAATAACCATAAAACTATTACTACAATGAAGTTACTATCATTACAAATAATATGTAAAATGAGTCAATTATAAAGTTTTACAAGATCTTGAAATTTTAGAATTTTTAATACAGAAATCCTATTTTGTATATTAAATCTATAGATCAGGGTTTATAAAAAGAGAAAATCTCACAATTTTCTGGAAGTGCATTGTAAATTGTTTATAAGATTTAATAGAAAACTACTTTTTTGACCCCATTAATAAATTAGGTGTGAGGAAAACAAGGAATAGTAAACTGATATTAGAATACGTTGGGGAACATAGTGTCGTATTAATGTCAACATACTATTGGCACGTTGGAGGTTTTTGTTAAATTGAGTTGATTGATTGTACCATGATAAGTTTTTATCAAGAAGTAACCCTAACGAACTGCAAACTGGTAAAATGTGACCTTTTTTGCAAACCATCGTAGTTAATTTAACGGTATATTTTAAGGACTTTTAAGCGAAAAGATTATTTAAAAAAAAAATAAAAGGAAATTAAGTGAAACTAGGCGAATACAATATGAAAAAACATATATATATATATTAATTATTTAATAAACTGCCTGCCCAAACTAAACCCTCAGTTGATGTAGCAGCACTCAGTTGCGAGTCAGGTTGTTTGTCAGTAGATGTAGCAGCATTTTGTTATGAATCAGACTTTAAGATACTCAATGTAGAAACACTCCGCGCATGTTTTTTTACTGTTAAAAAATAAAAACATTATTTTAAATAAAGCTTTAAAATAAATAAGAATTGGAGAGTTTTTTTTAATATTTATTTTTATCATAAAATTAATGGTCTTTAAAATATAATGTTTTGTTTCGCAAAAAAGTTCGGTTCGCAGCTCGCGCTGCGCAGTTCGCATTTTACCGACAAACGAGGAATAGCGCATAACTTGACATTTTGATGAAAAATGAAGTATTTTATAAAACTATTTTAAATAAATAAATATAACTATTTAATTGATAAATTTTAATAAAAAAAAAGTTTTTTTTTTGGAGATGCTTTCCGAGAGGATTTTTTTTCGGGGGGGGGGGGGGATTTTTTCTCGGGAGGATTTTCTCTCGGAGGATTATTTTGGGGGGATTTTTTCCGGGGGAATTTTTTTCCGTGGGATTTTTTTCCTGCTACCAGTGTAGAATGATAAAAAGTGGTTTTTAATTTGGTATTTGAACGTTATACGCAAATAACTTGTGGTAACTTCCACATTCCGTTATGATTAAAAAGACTCAGAGGATGATTACCAAAAAATATTTATTTTAACCATTTAAAAGATTTATTTTAATTTATTTTTCTAACCTTTTTATACTTTGTATATTTATAGTATATATATTTTATAAACAATAAGTTGATTTAAAAGTCATTTAACTTAATGTAATCGGATAAGAGAGATCTTCAAATAAACTTTTAATACGCAGTATTTTAATTACGGTTTTTTGATCGCCATCAGATTATATATATTTTTATCATTCATCTAAATATCCCAGTAAGCACAAGACGTTTTTAAAACGTTTAAAAAACTAATAAAAACGAATATTAACGTTTTTTAAACGTTTTAAAAACAATCTGTGTATACTGGGATCTTTTTATAAAAACGTGAGTAAGTTTGTTTTTGCCGTTCTTTTGTAGAACTATAAGTCTTAATGTAGTTATTAACTTGACCCAAATTAATTTAGTAATTACTAATTAAGTACTCATTAAATTTTAGGAAATTTTAAGTTGGTTTAATAATTACTAGTTTACTGCTCATTAAACTTTTATAAACTTTAAGTTGATTTAGAAATTTTTAGACAATGTATAAAAAAGAAAAACGTAAAAATGTATATCTATATGAAGTTACTTGAGACTTTAAATAAAATAAAAACATCTGTAAAAAGTTAATATACTGACTGAGAATCATATCATACGTTTTTGGAACCGTAATAATCCTTATTTCAGAAAATAACATTTAGGAAAAAGTATTTTGTGATTTAAATTTTTTTTTTTAAAAAAAACACTAAAAGTCCAGTATTTTCCTTTATACGTGCAATAAATACTGTATTAAATCATGAAAATGATTTTTAATTAAAAGTTAGAAGATTCTAGATTAAACAGTTTATCAAGTTCAAATTAAATAATAACTACATCAGCAATAAAATATGTAATGATATATGTAATAATCTTTGAGTACAAGGTTATTACATATTTTAAATGCTTTGTGTAAAAACTAAGTTTTCGGTAAATATTTTAATATGAAAATTAAACAGAAAATCCGCCAAATTAGATACTTTCTTCCACCAGAAAAAGGGTAAAGGGGCACGTGTTCCCTCCTCCTTTATTTTTTAAAAACAAGGTGCCAGCTAGTGAAATTACAGGTTTTAAAGGCTTAGTGTAAGTGATTTCTAAACAGAAACTACTTGTGCTGTTTTCAGCAGCTAGAAAGGGAAAAGGTTTTTTAAACCCCAGCCTAATAAAACTTGTGGTTGAAGACAGTGCTCTATGTTTCTTTGACATCATCTAATTTTCTAAAATTATTGGCTGACATGTAGCCTAAAAAAGGGCTTGGGTTTTGGTCAAGTCAGGCTTCTGAAATTGTTCGTTATGACTTCAAATGGTTCTATGAGCAAGGACACCGTATCAATTTAAATTGCTGAATACAGTTACTTTTTATAACAGTAAACATGCATACTTCAAAATCTAATTGGAAATATTTACGTTTTTAGAAGGCTCAAATATATTTTTTATAAATCTTTTGTTTTAATTTTATCTTATATTAAAATTAATCTTGTATTCAGAACTCGTATGTATGGAAATATTATATATTTAAATATCAAGTTTCAATATGATTTTGTGTTTTAAAATAGTTAAACAGCTATTTAAAATAAAAATAATCTATCATTTTCAAGCAACCTTATAAAGGTATTCACACAAGGCATTAGTTTGGTTTTTTAATATTATAGAGTAAAATTACTTCAAAATGTTTGTCAAAATTTTTTTTTTTACATTTTTTTCAATAACTCAGTTTTTTATTTTTAAATTTTATTTAATAACTCAGTTTTTTATTTTCATAATTTCTCCAATATCTCCAATATCTGTCCCATAACTAAGTAACTTCTATTGATATGAGAAGATATTACTCTTCAAATAAAAGGTCTGTCTATTGTGAACATTTTGAGACTTTTTTAAAAAATTTTTCAACAGATCTTAAAAGATGTAATAATGTTGGAATAACTCATGATTAAATAAAATATTTATTGCGCATGTAAGTGAAAATACTGGATTTTTGTGTTTAAAAAAAAAAAAAATTTTCTATGATCCAAAAATTTTTCCAATTGTTATTTTCTGAATGTAGACATCAGAAACTTATGGCATTATCCCAGTGGGCACCGAACCAAATAAAGACGTGTTTTGAACGTTCAAAAGACGTCCGAAACGTACAAAAGACGTTCAAAAGACGTCCAAAACGTGTATAAGACGTTTAAAAGACGTCTTTTTAACGTCCGTGTCCACTGGGATCCCGAATCTTTTATTTTTTATTTTTTTTTATTTTGTCTTGAATCTACTTCCTCTTGGGTGTGAATTATTTTGACCATAGATAAAAGCATTGAAGTGGTTAACAAAAAAAAATTAGCAAATATAGTAAAATAAAATTGTGGTGCTCATATAGGGCACTATATGAGCACCACACACCACTCATGCACCACACACTCTTTAAAAAAATAGTATTTAACAAAATAATTTATACTTACATAGATAAGATTAAAGTTAGTATGATTAATAAGTGATGTTGGATTGATGCTTAAATAATCCCAAGTTATTCTTTTTAGCTTGAATCTTCGGTGATGTTCAACGAGGATAGTGACGTTTTCAAGATCAACAACACAGTCAGCGCTAGTTGTCATATTGAAGTTAATAAACATGCTTTGACTGAAAATAAAAAGCATTAAATCCAACGTTCATTTTAGGTCACGAGCAGCAGAGCGCGCCAATTTACCTGCACCGGACAACTTTTAAAACAAAGGCAGACAAATGTTTTACTGTTTTTAGGCGTTTAAAAATCTACTATATTATGTACTGATATTAGGTTTTGCATTTTTTGAATGCATATAATGAAAAAATGCAAACTTTATTGACACACACAGAAAAGAAAAATTAGGTTTTAACGTACTTCAAAGTATAGTTTGATACTGCTATGCGAAGGCCACATTTTCTTACTGAACGTTTTATTGTAAATGGAGTCAATGTTACCCATAAAGATTTACTAGAGGAATAAACCAACACAGCCCATTCCGTGTTGTTATATGGAACAGACATATCGCCAATCTATTATAAATATATATAGATTTTCTAAATAACAAAATATGTAACATATATAAATATATAAATATTATAGCAAAAAAAAAACTCACCTTCGTTTCTAAAGCATAAAAGTTTTCAAACTTAGAATTTAGATTTCCAGAATACGTTTCTTTCACTGAAGAATAAAGTTTACTCTGGTTATTTCTTTCTGTTGATACAGACGTATGAAAACCTCGTCCGAGATTTATAAATTGCGTAATAATTATCCTTGCTGAATAGCTCATTGAGTTATTGAGATCATCAATAAAGTATAACTTGCTCTCATCATCTCCTTCAAGGTAAAAACTGATTCGAACTCGAAAATTTATATACGAACCAATAGAACAAGTTGCAGATTCTGGTTCAAAAATCGAAACTAAATGTTTGTAGTCAATTTATTGTAAAAGTTTAATTTTAAACATTGAAAAAACAATAAAATCACGGTACAACGTAGATGACACAGAATGATAAATTATTTTATATACCATCTCTATCAAAAAAGCTAAAAACTTATTTCATTTTTTGTTATATTATGTTTTTTTAATTTAAAGGATGTTAAACCTAATGTATTTTGCCGTTTTAGACAAAATATATTAGGTATATTAGTCAGTAAGTCAAAATTCTATAAAATACAATGAATTTTTTAATAATGATTCTGTTAACTAAAACTGCAGTTAAGAACTTACATACCAATCATAAAAATCTTACATAGAAAGTTTATGCTTTTGCGACTTGCACCGTAAAGTAATGATTGTCCAACCTGCGTAACAGTGCAAAAACAATTTTTATAATCGTTATTTATCATTGCTCCCACGTACAAAGCACCATTTTCGATTTTTTCCCAGCAAATTTGCACACAACTGCTATCAGTTGCTGGATTTACCATAAAAACAGGTGAACCAAAGTAACCCAAATTGTATAATGGTATAGTGTTTTTCAAAAGTGAACCTATATTAAAGGAAAGATCAAACAAATAAATATAAAATATCTGAAATCTTTCTCCCACTTTTTATTTTCTTTTTTAACTGAATTTTCTGAAAACTTTTCTTAAAAGAAAATTAATAAACAAAACTTTAATAACAGTCCTAATACGATTTCTTATCCTAATAGGATTTAGTTAATTGCCCCTTTCCTATGTTAGATTATTTTAAAACATTTTTTTTATATCTATAGATTTGACACAGCTTGTTGTTTGAAAAAAATAGAAGTAAATTAGTTCTTAAGTCTAATAGTGCGAGTTAAAAATACAAAAAATCTTTCTATCGGTTAGATTTTATAAAAGTTATCTAATTTTTTAGCTATTGTATGATTATTGATAAAACAATGCTGACTTGGCATCAAAATTGTCAAGTCTCTTTAAAAATGATATGAAATTTTAATAAAAGTTCGCAAATTGAATGTCATATAATTTTTTTGCTATTCTCAACTAAATTTTAAGTATCCTAGTATTATCTCTCAGCGTTCAAAAACTATGACCATATAAAGTTCAAACTTTATATGTTCATTCATGTTTTTGTTTATTGTTTAATTTACTTATTTGTAATCAATAATACAGTTTTTATGAACATTTTTACAGATCTCAAGTTCTCTAAACATTTTTGTGCAGCTTTTTATCTCGTTTTACAGTTCATAATTAAACAAATTATGAATTGTCTTCAAAAAAGTTTGATTTTAATTTTTTATTTAATCAAAAATAAATGCTATAGTCGGTTTTCAGAAAACAACTTTCCTGTTCCAAAATCATGTTCAACTTTGTTTTTATTATATTAAAAATTGTTTTTATAGAAATTAACTCCTAATATCGTTTTCAAAAAAAATATATATATATTCAGCAAATCAGGACTAATTCTAAAGGATACCGCCTTCTAAGAAATTTAAATTAATTAATTTAATTTTTGTGAGTGAAAAAAAATGAATTACAAATTTTACAAAAAAAAAAAAAAAATAAAGTAAGAAAAAATTAGATTTTCAAAAACTTAAAATAAGCAAGAGCTAAAGAAATCTTCATATCAGAAACTTTATTCTGAAATTCTTTCCAAAATCTACAAAAAAACTAATTTACCAAAATTTAACAATATTAAGATTTATTCAAAAGTGTTAGTTAAAATAACCTGTTTATTGAAGATAAGTTAGAGTACCTTGCCATAAAAACAGCATTCAGTGGTCTAAAGACCGTAATGTTAACTTTAAGACAACAACCCTCAGTGTCGACAAATCAAATCAGCCAAGCTTAAGCTAAGAAAAGTCAGTAATTTTACTACATCAAAGTCAGAAATGCTACATTCATATCAGTGGCATACAACGAATGACATAAAACATTTGTTTCACCGTAATAACAACAAAAATTATATTTTACTTTTATTTATTTGTTTTTATTTTAAAGTTTTACCCATCTGTTTATAAGCAAACACTATATTATTCCTAAATTCACTCAAAATAGTTTACTCAAGTTTATTAAAAAGAACAAATATTAATAATCATTGTAGGAAAAAAAAAGACGAATAGGATTACTAGTGCAAAACCAGCCTCCGCAACAATTATGTTGAAATGAGATAACTAGACGCAAAGTTTAAAAGTTCTTAGCAAAAGCCTATAAACCAAAAAAATTAAAAGTAATTGCAGTTCAGTGCACTTAAAAATTTCAAGTACAGTATATTCGTGTTTGCAAAGAAACACTACATAGTTCATTTTTTAACATATACTAATTATTTTCAACTTTGTTGTTTAGGCAGGTTTGGCGCTTAACCATCTGATTTATTGACGATATAATGGGTAGTTTTAATTATGCTAAATTATGCAAATTACTCGGCCTTTTTATACTATTGACAAAGAACGTAAATTAAATTCTACGGCTTATGAAGAAATGAGGGATTTTGGTGTTGGTTTATAATACTGGTGTGGCAGTACAAAATAGAATTAAGAAATATTTTGTTAATTGATCAAAACAAATTTAAAAATTTGTATTGTTTAACTTAAACTGCTCTTTTTTAGAGGTTTTCAGTTGAAGTTATCTTTATTTCAGATTTTGTAAGTCACTCTTTAGGTTGGTGTAGTCCTCATTTTAAACTTTACTTTAGAGCAAATGTAACAAAATTGCTTCCAAGTGTAATCCATAAAAAGTTTCTTAAAAAGTCATAAACTTTTTAAGAAATAATTTAAATTTAGTTACAGTTTATTCTAAATTGTGTAATATATTCTAAATTATCAACGTTAAAAACACAATTAAAAATATCTTATTAAGCAACTCAAACCTAAAAAAAAGTAGAACTTTTTGTTTAAAAGTTCTTAAACAAGGCTGTGTATAAAAAAAATGTAAACAAACCCACTTTTTTAATAGTGGAAAAAATTAAATAAAAATAAAATAACAACAAAAAAAAATAAGTTTTATATTTATTTTTTTGACATTCATTTATATTAATAATAAAACCATAATACTAATAACTTTAATTATTGCAACATTATTAATATAAATAATAGAAATTATAAAAAGAAAAGAAACAAAATTAAATCAGTTTAGTAAAGATTAATATATTAACGTGAACATAAGGTATTTAAACTTGTATTATAAAAGAACCGAAAACAAAGCAAGAACAATATTAGATAACAATATCAGCTGGGACGAAATGTACTATTTAATAATGTTTTTCATAGGTTGATGGAATTAGATTCCAAAAGTTAACAGTATTTTCACCTGAAAAATGAAAAAAAAAAGCAATAAAACAACAACAAACAAAAAAGCATTAAACCGTAGTGTAAAATTTTTTTATCTAATTTAGCAACAAAGAGATTGTTTATGTAATGCAAAAATGGCTGTTAAGGGCAATCTCACTTAAGCAATATATATATTCAAAGTCAATTTATTTATTTTCTAATTTAAATTTTTTACAATTAATTTTTTGAGATGTCTAATAAAAAGATAGCATAATATATGCAAATAGATTTCTAATAAAAAAATTTCGTAATGCAGATAATATCACGATATTAAAATCTACTTAAATATATTAAAAGCGTTTGTAGGCTTTTCGAAATATAACAACTCTATATTTTGTTTAATATATATTACTGTTCTAGAAACAATAATATATTTTTTATCACTATATATTGGTATTAAAGGTTTAATTTTACAAAGTATATGAAGAAAATATTACATCATTTCAGTTTGAACTTTACAAAATAATAGATAAACTCTAAGTATGTTTGGATTTTGACAAGCACAGCCTTGCTTTAAAAAATTTCCGTTTTCCGTCGGAGATAATACATTTTGTAGAAAACCAAGAGGCTGAATGTCCACATTTAGTGTTTTTTCTGTTTATTATCGATAAATATTCGTCAAAGGTTTGAGAATGTGTCCACTAAATCTAGTCTCAAAAATAAAAAGAACTTCAGGAAATGTAATAATAAGGAAATAAATAATAATTAGAACAATCTGGCACAAATTCTTTCATGATATAATCTAAAAATCAATTTTCTCGGAAACACAAAATATGGACATACTATCTTCTGGGCTGACAAATCGTTGCGGAAATTGATCTCTGCAACATTCGTTTACAACATAAATTTTATTCTACAAGCAACGTTAAGTTGTGTGCAACTTATGCATGAAAATGTTTCTATCTTAAAACAAGGTTGTTGTGCAACAGTTATGCAATTGTTGCTACAATTATTGGAAAACGACCAACTTACTATAAATATTAAAAGTAAGTAATTTTCTAAAAAACATTCTTCAAATTTGTACCAACTTTTATAATAATAACTCATTTCATTCAAGAAAATGCTGAAACAACAATATCAACAAAATATTGCTTAACTTTCTGTGATTTTCTTATGCTACAATTATTTACAAAAAAACAAAATTAAGCAATATAAATTGAAACAACATGTCTATGGTTTCTTTTTTTCTTTTCCTTTTTTATTTGCATCACAAAGAAAAGAATTAGATGAAATAATTATTGATAATTAAGAAAAAGTACTAATAAAAATGTTCTTCTTTTAATTTCTTATTTGGCTTGATTAGTCCACTTAACAGGAAATAAAAAGACATAAACAACTGTCAATCTTGTAGCTGCATAAACCAGTCAAACCCATTATTCAAAAAACAAGAACTGTTCTAAGTAGAATGGTAGGATATAAGAGAAAATGATAAAGTTGAAAATGGAAAAAACTTTTTTTTGAAACTCACTTAATTATGGTCCGTTAAAGCAGGTTATGATGCTCTTTGGGGAGCAGAAGTTATCTTAGCTGTCGTTTGTATGTAGCTTCTAAATGGTAATTAGCCAGAAGCGGATAAACCACAATACCAATTATAATTTTAAAAGAAGATTGGAGAAGTTTTTGAGAAAAGTGCCAAATAAAGCTATTACTTTTGAATATGGTTCATTTTGTGGTCGTTTTTTAGACAAAAAAAATGACAAAAGATTTCAGCATAGTTTGGTTGATTGAAGGCGGTTTTAAGAATAGTCAAATATGCACTTATCTTTATATTTGTACAAGCTTTTAACCCCGATAAAGATATTGTTTTTAAGTTAATAATACTAATTCCAGTTAACAGCCTTTGAAAAACTTAAATTACAGTTTAGCACTGAAAATAAGTGTGATTAATCTATCTATAAAATCGTTAGTACGAAAAAAAGTTTAGTGGTAATATTTCGAAAAATATATTTTGATTCTAAAATTTATGGGGCAAGCAATTCAAAATGTTTCCGTTTACTATTAAATGTTTATCTTACTTCTGGTAATGGTAAATTACTGATATTTTGTGCTTAAGGAGTTTACAACCTGCTGAAACTGAAAAATTTAACTTTTATCTCTGAAGACAAAGTATCAAGACAAGATTAAATTTTTAACTAATTTTTATAATTCTAATTAATGCTTTTAACTGCTTTGTGTTATTATATTTGGTAGATATTTATTTGGTAGATATTTATTTGGTAGATATTTATTTGGTAGATATTTATTTGGTAGATATTTATTTGGTAGATATTTATTTGGTAGATATTTATTTGGTAGATATTTATTTGGTAGATATTTATTTGGTAGATATTTATATGGTAGATATTTATTTGGTAGATATTTATTTGGTAGATAATTATACAAGTTCTCTAAAAGTTATGAGAAGATAATGAATATTTACAAACTAAATTTTTCAAAAAAAAGAAGTTCTTCAACAGTACAACATTAATATGATTTTTAGTTGAATTGTCAAGAAATACTGCATATTGACTAAGCAGCGTAAGTGTTAAACTAAATGGGTAGGTCAGCCATTTTAGTTCCTCTCTATATTTGTATTATAATTTTATATTAATACCTTTGAATATGGCGCATAAAACAATTTCTGCATCAGTTGCCCATATTCTATTTTCACTCATACCACTTTCATTAAGATATCTTATAATTGATTGTTTCAAAATTAAAGTCATTTTATCATTAATTTGTGTACACGTGTCTTACTACTTTTTCTCTAATAGTTTTATAATTACTTTTACTGCCTGTAATGATATAAGATATTGCTCTAAAAAAGAGATTACCATCAGTTCTGCAGAGTTGTTTAGGATACGAAATTAGATTAATATCTGATGTAAATATATTTCTGGTAATACAAACATCAAATTGGTTAGAAATAAAACGTCTCATTTCAATATTTGCGTATTTTCCAGCCATATCATTAGTAACTTCCATATTCACTTCATCAAATGTATTTTCTTGTTCATCACTAATTATTTTTTTCATTATATAAAAACTTTGAAAACTTGTTTTCAACATTTATATGTGCTTGAAATGGAAGTTACAGTGGTCCCGTCAATGGACCATATATCTTTGACTATTACTGATATATTTTTTTGAAAAATAAAGTTTTTTTCTTATTATATAATTAATTAGTTTTTATAAATCTTTTTTTAAAACTATCATTACAATACATAAAACGCGACAGGGCAGCCTTACGAAACAGTTGAAACAAAAATGTCTTCTTTATTCAAAAATAAGAAGTTTCTTATTTTCTAGCATTAAAATATTCAAAAATGGCTCTAAACCCCATATTTTATTTTTCCGTAAACAGTAAAAACGTTAAAATCGAAGTTTTCACATTAGTTTTCATTACAGAAAACTTCCATAATTTTTTTATTGTCGCTTTTTTATAACTCTTGCACCATAAAAATTTATAAAACTTAAATTTCGTAGAAATTAAAATCACCAAACATTTATAAACAAAATAAAACTAAAAGTTTTTTTTTTTTTTTATTAAGAATATTAAACTGATCTGAACGCACAAAAAGAAATCGGCATGTTTTGAAAACGAAAGGGCCTAAACGCAATATTTTTCTTCAGATACCTTATTTACATAGACTTTTATAATTTATAAAGACTTATTTTTTAAATTCTTTCAATACTTTTTTTATTTTAAAAATAAAGAGGTAATAATTAAAAAATTTCATTTTCTGCAAAAACAGTCTATACCAGAACAATAAAAATGGCTGAGGACGTGGCATCACAAATACGTTCTGATTTGAAATCGTTGCCTTTGTTTACTTAGGCGTATGATGAGTCATGTAAAGTTAGGGTTACGACGCAAATTGGATTAGTAGGACGATACTTATTCTGTCAGGGTGTACAAAAAGTTTAATTTGAACTAACTTTGATTTCGCTCGTGGTGAAGACATGATTTCCTCAAGACTCGAATTTTTGAAAAAATATGAAATTGACCCAAATAAATTAATATCTATTGCTACAGATGATGCCAAGAGTTTGTCTAGTAAAAGTATAGGTTTATGTCCCGTTTTAAAACGATATTGAACACGATATTTTTAGTTTTCATTGCATCATATACAAGGCCGGCGCGATAGGGGTGTGTGGGGTGTAACACCCCCCCCCCCCCCTTCATCAATGACTTTTAGTCGGCAAATTTGACCCTTAGTCGGCAAATCTGACCCTTTTTGACTAGTTAGTCGGCAAATGTAGACACTGTCGATAGGTTAGTGGGTAAAGTCAGTCGGTAAATGTTGTTATGGTAGTCGGTAAATTTTAAAAAACGAGTACTTTTTTTTTTTTTGTTTTTTTTTTTTTAGACGGCAAAAGTTGTAATGGCACCCCCCCCCCCCCCACGTGACCCCTACTCGCGCCGGCCCTGATCATATACTAAGTATCACACACCCTGTATGCGCAAACTTTTTCATTCGAATTTTCATAGGTAATTGACTTGGTGGCAAAATAGTCAATAAAATTGTCTCAAATGCATTTATTTATTGCAAATTTGTTTATTACTTGATTAAGTTAATGAAAATATTTTGATCTATTGTTGTAATAAATTCCGTTGGCTATTTAGGGGGGCTGTCTTCAAAGATTTTGGCCAATGTCGAACATAATGAGTTTGTAGAAGAATTTTAAATAAAATATTATATTTAATTGGATGTGCACTATATCAAAACAAACTTTCGTTATTGGCCAGGATCTGGATTAAAGTTGAGGATTAATTTTCAAATTAGAACAATCTGGCCTTTGCTTTGACCTAATATATCTGTTTAAATATACCTATTAAATATCCTAATATACCTATTTGCACTTTTGATGTAGTGCACATTTATTTAGGTATAACTTTCTGTTTCAAATTTTTCCTGTTTTACTACAAAGCTAATTATTGTTCCAGTGTTAGTAACAGTATTATAAAAAAGAACAACCAGTGGGCTTACTGAATTAAAAAAACTATACTGACTCTACGTAATTAGTCATTACTGCTGAAAAACTTTATAGAAAGAAATAATTCTGTAAAACTATAATAGGAATTGTCGTGAAAGTCAAATGACTTCCAGAACATTATTTATCATTATAACTAAATTAGTTAATGTTCAGGTTAAATTTTGTGAGCATTTCTCTTTGAGGTAACGTTACACTGACAGTCTTTACTCTTTTTTAGGTCTATATATTTTGCTATTGTAAATAAAGATGTAAAATATATCAACATCTTTTTTCAAAAATGTTTATTGTAGTAAGCATTTGCGACTCCCTTCACAGAGATCAGTGGCGGATGTTGAAGCTAATATTCGTCTCTGACACAGCAACTCTTAAAAGTTGTACTTTTTGAGATATCTTTTTGAGATAATTAAAGCTGTGAGAAGAAAGTTGTTCTGAATTTGATTTATTACAATTATTTAATGCAATTATATAAAAATTATCTTAGAATTAACTGCTGCTTCTTCAAATGTGTTTAAATGTCGTATGAGGGCTTCTGCTTTATCAACTTCCTTTGAGATACTTGTTGCGGCTCATTATGGTTTTTCTTTCTTTTTGCAGCTTAAAAAAAAGGGCACGCAGAAAAATTGAAAAGCTTGCCTAATTTGTTTAGATTCTTTAGTACTAGATTTGCCGTGCTTTCAAACAATATACTTAAAAAGTGAAAGAAGTTCTTGAACTTTTTTATAAACAGTTTTGTCAGTTAGAAAAGATAGTTTTGGTTTACTATAGCTCGAATTAATTTTTCATTGCTGCTAATTTTCTGATTTACAAATATGATACCTGGATTTAGATTCGCATAATTAAAATATAATTAGTACTAAAATATGCCTAAAAGTTCGTAGATCCATCGTAAATACCGACGGACTAAAAGTTATGAACTTTTTATATTGTCTTTACTTTTTCATTAGTAAAGTTACATGGCACTATTACTATTATGAAAATGTCACGGGTTAAAAAGTTTTTGAATATTTTTCTGTATGATGTCTATTCCAAACCGAACTTTTTTATACTTTTTTTTTATATGTACTATCTTTCCGGATCCGTAAAATACAGGTCTTAACCAAACCTACAATTTCTATAAATACCTATTCCACACCGGTTATCTCTATATCTATTCTTTATTTACTTCAATACTTTTTAGTAAAATACTTTTGTTCTGAAAAAAAACTTTAAGAGCAAAAAAACTAATATATGTAACTTTTCCGCATACGTAGGGCTTTTAAGAGACTTATAATTAGGTTTGTTTTTTTGATAAATGCATTTCATTGATAGCTCAGTGGTTTAGTGCGCTGTCGTCAGTGTTGTTTTGGGAGGTTGAAGACTTCCTCTTTGCGTAATTAAATTTTGAAATTTTTTTAAACTTTCTTATATAATTATAGCAAAAAATTTTTCTAAAATTTAAAATAAAATTTTAAAGTTTTCTCATTCTATAGATATATTATACGCGATTATTACTTATAATGCCTGCAAAATCAACATATGCTAAAGACGTTTACACTTACAGACGTTTTTACATAATGCTATACAAATGGAACTAAGAAGATCTTAGACCACTAAAACATAGTCATAAAAAAAAAGTTCATTCTTAGGATTATGATTACTAACGAAAGAATAATATTAAGCGCTAATTTAAAAGTTTTGACTCGGTTTGTGGCAAAGTAAACCTTTATGCGTCAAGTTTCTTTTACATTTATCTTACATTTTTTGATTAATTTAGATTTTATTGCATACAAATGCATAAAAATATATAAAACTGGTACAGATATATCATTTCACGGATAAGAGATTGTATTTATTACTATAGTAATAAATAAATAGGTTTTGCCTTTATTAGAATATATTCCATAAAAATATATATATAATTTTGAAAGGATACAGTTATGAAGAGAGGTTTAAAAAGTTGGATTTACTATTGTTGGAAGAGAAGAGAAAAAGAAGGGGTGGTTTGATACAAATGTTCAAATATTTGAAAAGGCACGATATTTTAAATTATATATATATATATATATATATATATATATATATATATATATATATATATATATATATATATATATATATATATACATATATATATATATATATATATATATATATATATATATATATATATATATATATATATATATATATATATATATATATATATATATATATATATATATATATATATACCGTAACGTAAGGTAATCGCGCACCCGTTAAGGGGTGTTTAAAGTAAGGTGGGGTAATTGAGTACTTTTGTTTGGGGTAAATGAGCACCTTTTGAATTTACTGTTTTTTATTCTTATAATATTTTTGATAACAAAATAAATATTTAAAGATACAAATAGTTTGAGTTTTTTAACTCATATTTTTCACTTTTTTATAACAGATTTGTGGAAATGGTGAGAATCTATTTAAAATCAGCTCAAAAACAGTCAAAAACTTACTCAAAAAGTAAATTACTTAAATTATTTGCACAAAGTTTTCTTAACAAATCTGGAAGAAACATCTTGTGTTTTAAAGAAAATTTGCCTGGTGATGATTTGTAAAAATCATTTTTAGAGCGGTATAAAAGCCTTTTGTCTTATCGAGCATGTCAAAATATTTGTATAAAGCGTGCTGCAATTTCATGAGACTCTGTAAATAGATTCTTAACAACCTAGAAGATACAATAAAAAATATTCTACCTCAAAACAAAATAAACTAA